ATTAAATAATGAGAAAGGGTTAATTTGTAAACAATGTTCTAAAGATTATAAACATCCTGTTCTTGATACTCTTAAGAGACATTTTGCAAGAAATCATAAAGAAATTTGGGAAAAAATTAAAAAAAAATTTAAATAAAAAAATAATAATATCATTATTTTTTTTTGTTTTAAATATTATATATTCAAAGCATGAAAATTATCAGAGTTTTTTGTAGAGTTCGTTCAAAGTGTGAAAAATTCTCGAAATTTTTTTTTTATATTTAATTTAACATTTTTTAAAATAATTTAAATGATTACAGTATTGAAATTTTCTAATGATAATAAAAAAATCATAATTAAAATTATTCTACATATAATTTAAAGATCATGAAAATTATTTTAGATATAGTCAGAAATTTTTGAATATTTGAACAATTTCAAAGTTTATTTTCAATTTTATGTTAAATTTTAATTGATCAAATTTGAATTTCTAAACTTTTTAAAGATTATATAATAACTGATTACTAAAATATCTTAGAAAAATTCTAAACAAAACAAAAACCTGTTCGATTTGATTATTGAAATAAGACAAATTTCAATAAGATTTCATATCAAGAATCTATAAAATCTATTCTTAGATTTTATTTCTGATTTTAATTTATTTATAAACCTATAAATTTAACGTATAAGCTTTAAGAATAGAAAAATAATCAAATCAACTTTTTGTAAATCCAAAAACAGAACAAAAATTTATCAAAAATCTTGTGAAGATTGTTATAAAATGCCTCGAACAAAAAAAGAAAAAAAGATTTACTGCCCTAAAACTCGTTGTTTATCTTGTGTAAAAAAAAGAATTAAATGTATCAGTTCTTTAAATTCAGATATATGTCAATACTGTTTAGAGAATAATTATATTTGTAATCGTTTCAAACCTAGCAAAGTATATGAAGAAATTAACAGATTGAATAATATCATTTATGATCATGAATCTCGAATCAGAAATTTAGAATATGATACCGCTATCTTAAAAAAAGAAAACAGAATATTTAAAAATTATATGAAGCAACAAGAACTTCTTCAGGATACCTTAAGATCTTCAATCATTAATCAAAACGATGATGAAGATGATATAGAATAATAATTATTAAAATATATAAATATACCTATTTTATTTTTTTTTTAAATAAAGATGAATCTACCTTTTGATATTTTGTTCCATATCTTTATTTTTTTATCTCCTCAAGAAAGATTCAAAATAAAAAAAGTATCAAAATCTTTTTATAAAATTTATCTAAAACATGTTTTACAAAGAAATAATCTTGATCCAAACAAATATATTCTTTATCGAAGAAGTAAAAACATAAAATCTGATAATTTAATTTATGATATTGTTCGAACTGAGAATAATTATATTTATCTTAAAACTAAAAGATCAAAGAAAGAAACCAAAGTTAAAAAATTATATAATAAACATGGTGTAATATATTGTAAATTTCAGAATAACTATTTATATATTCATGAAAAAGAATTTATTAAAAATATTGAAAGAGATAATTGTGAAAAATGTAAAGAATTACATTTTTTAAACGATTGTGGTATCTTTAAAAAGGTTTGCTCTTTTAAAAATTGTAAAAAATTAAAAGTTTACAAAGAATTATTAGATGTATTTAATGATAAATCAACAAAAAATTTTGATAATTATTGTGAACATAGACTCTGTCAATGGTGCACTTTAAAATTTTCAATTTGATTTAATATAAAAAATAATAAATATGTTCAAAAACTATTTATTCAATAAAATTAAAATTTACTACAAATTGTATAATTCAAATAATCTTCATACAAGAAGAAATTTAATTTTTCAACAAATTCAAACAAAGATTTTCTAAAATCACTATTATTAGTTTCTTTAAAAATCTTTAAATATTTAGTTAACTTTCGAACATTAATATTATTTTTAATAAAATTATATTGATAATATTGTTTATTGTAATTAGGAATATATTTTTCTTTTATATGTAATTTAATTGCTTTTACAATTGAACTTTCATCTTCATGTTTATTATTTTTGAAAGCATCTTCATAATATTGAAGTTGTTTCAAGTTCCTTTCAAAAAATTCGTAAAGAATCTCTTCTCTTTCATCAATTACTTGATTAAGAACAAACATTTTAAATATAATTATTTTTATATAAACAACAAGAATATTTATATAAATTTTCAGCAAACTAAAATAATCCATTAGTTCAGATACTTTTTGTATATCAATCAGCTGATCTTATTCATTCAAATCCTCAAGAGGAAATCCTCATTAGGATATTTGTGACTAATTTTCAATAACACGTAAATTTTTTTTTAAATTTAATATTTTTATAATAAAATTCTTTATAAAAAGACTAGATGTTTAAATTATTATAACTTTACAAAATGGCTAACAATATCTTTTTCAAATACCTTACGAAAGAAAATATGATTTCTATTATCAATTATTTTTCAGAAAATTTGTTAATGAATCTCATTGAAAATAAATGTCATTTTACACCAAAAATCACTTTTACTTATGGAAAACAAGAACCTTTTTTTCCTGTTAATGTTAAAAAATATAATACTTCTAAAGAAAAACTTTCTGAACGTTGGTCTGATATTAATAATATTGTTTTTCCTATTAAGATTGATTCAAATGATGATTTAAAGATGTATTTTATTGATTCAATTATCAAAAATATCTTTCCTAAAATTTTATTTATTCATTCCCAATATTCACCAGAAGAATTAGGAAAAAAGGTTAATGATATTAATTTTTTCGATAATCATTATTCAAAAAATGAACTTTCTTTATTTTTTGAAAAAGTTCCTTACTTTGGTATTCATCAAGACGTATCTCTTATTCATTTACATAAAATGAATATAACAGAATATGATCAAAAAGAAGTTTTTGTTATTAACTTTGACAATATTGATCTTAAACATCGTTGGGATAATTATAATAATCAAACTTCTTTTATTATTAGATTAGATGATATTCAA